AAAAAAAAAAAAAAAAAAAAAAAGGAAGAAAGAAAGGAAGAAGTGGCAACAATCAGACCGAACGATACATCGTGTCGATACATCCATTGCCGATGCTAATTGATTCACCGAGGTTCGACCAATTTCTCAGTGGACCAAATCAACACACTCCACTACCTGCTGCTTAGCAAGTCTACAGCACACCATTCCTTCCACGAAAATTCCTACCGCAAACACTGTCGCGTCCCAAACGATCAGCTTCCATTCATTCTTTCCAAACACACAGAGAATCTAAAATTCGTAGATCTACGTTCGAATTACTCGAGCAATTTCGAAAAGAAAATCGTCGAGAGAGCTATCGTTCTTTTCCCTGTGTAGGTAATTCGAGTTGACCAAACCAAACTGACTTTCCTCTGCAGTTGTTGGAATATATCGATGAACGATGCGAGCGTGTGAGTGTGATTATTTTTTGTCGTCAACTAAACAAGTGAACATTGGGGTCCGCATAGAGTAGTTGATCTCGAAGCGTCGTTCTGAACGTACTGATACATGCATTTCTAATCAATTACATTATCGCCAATTCTTGTTCAATAATTAATCAAATAAACTCTGACAGCAGTCGTAGGAACGAGGTATCTCGCAAGATCAATCAGCTATTCGAGATCACATTTCCAACCATGCGTGAAACATTGCGCAATAAACGCACGTATGTACGAAAGGTATCATCAACACGAACCAAAAACTACGCCATTAAAAGTAAACGAAATTATCATAAACATTGAGCAATGAACTGCTTAAACGGGAAATACGTCTAGTTGCAGTAGAGTCTTGAGAGATAAATTTAGACAGGCACTGGCTGCGACAAGGTAAAAGAAGGAAAAGTCTCTTACCAAGATGGATAAACTCCCCGCGGCGACGCGCCACCAGCTCTAATCTGCTCGTTGACGTAACCGCTCCTCGGTACGTTCAGCGCGGACCTGATGCCTACGCTGGACCCATCCAAGGTCCCTGGGCCTGGTTTAGGAACGTGGCTGCTACAGTACACCTCCTTGTCGTTGATCGTGTGCTGGTTGTTGTAGTAGGTTTTCAGGGTCAGCTTGGTGCCACAGATCGCGCACTTGAAGCAACCGGCGTGGAAGAACGTGAAGTCCTTCAGCGGGCCGACTCTGTCCACCTGGTACACGGTCTGGGCACACCTCAGACACGTGCTTTCGTAAAAGTTCGGCCGATACATCGTCTCTTCCTCGATCCAAGGCGATCGCTGCTGTTTTAGGTTTCCGTTAGTTGGCTAGTCTCCTACAAAGTAGCGCTACACCTCGACGCTCTGGAATACACCGCGTGCGATCCTGAAAGCGTGCGATTATCGTGTCAGGAAATGTGGAAATGTAAAGCGAGGAGAAGAATCGAATGATCGTTGCGAGTTATTTTCGCAAGTTCACAAATTTCGAATGCTCCACGCGAATTGTAAACGTAAGTTCCATGCGTGTCTTCTCGTTCGACTCGCGACAATTTTAAATGATTAGAATACGAGAGGCCAAGGGAATACCTAAGATCTTCAGATAAGCGTCGATGATTGATCTTCGTTCCGCGACAAAGAAGGCACAATTGTGTAAAAAGTCAAAATAAGCTTAAAACGAGCGGCTTAATTGGCACGTAATTACCACGATGCAAAACGCGTGCATGCGAATCAGACCGCGGCTATTTCTTAACTCTCAATAATTATCTTTGCAGGATGTTTAAAAAGAGAAAAAGAAAAAAAAAAAAAGAATTATACGCGATAGAAACAAACGAAGTTGATAGCATCTCGATCGTGAGCGATCGAAAATGATAAACGTATAAACGCATCGGCGTTATTAAGAATGGCCAGCGCCGCCAACACTTTCCTGTTGGCTTTTGCAACGATTTGTTGCCAATAGTTTTCATAGTGGGCGATCAGCGGTAATTGCAACAGATTTCACGAGCTCACGGCACACGATACGACGCCTGGTAGTAACGTCGTGTCGAGATTTTCACACGTACGTCCTCGTTAAAACGCTTCGTTCGAAACGATAACCGATTTCGCGTTATGCAATCGCACCGTGAAAATCGTATTTTTTCATTCCACCCTGCTCGTCCGTTGTTTTCTAAACTCACGTCCATATTCACGGTAAAAAAAAAAAGGTCTTTATTCGCAATGTATCGGCTAGTTTGTCCCAACGATAATGCAACTTAATTTTTATGAATACGAACGACATCTTTCACTGCAAATTTTGCATCACTCGTTCGCGCGTGAAATTCTGCCCGCCTCGCGATAATTGTTTTTTTTTTTTTTTTTATACATATTTCAACGAGTGCGAATCAGCTTCTGCACCGAATGTAAACTCAAGAACGTACAACTTCCTTCTACGCCTAATACACAAATTGCGTGAAGGCGAGCGTGAAGAAACGTGGCTTCTTTCGGGACGAAGCCGCGCGTCATATTGGAAACTTTCTAAATGAACCGTGTCCGGATCACTCCTGAAATTATTACCTCGGTTTCACCTCGGTTATTCGTGTAATGTCCGTTACGATGCGCGACGATCGGCTGCAGGTTTCCCTTTTCTTTCCACGATCCTTCCCGCATCGGCGGCCGAATTCTCCCGTTGCACAGCCGGCGACCACAATGGCCATTACGTCATACCGTTAGCGACCATGCACAACAATAAACCGTAATAAACGCAGGAATAGCCCGTCTCACGCATCACCGGCTTCCCGCTCGCCGCGACACGCACTGATTCGTTTTTTCAACCGCTGCGTAAGTCTCTGCTCGACGTGCGAGCGGCAGAGACAAAAATTCGAGCGGACGACGACGATGGACGCGCTGGAAAGTTCCTCTTCCAGAGAACGCGCACCACTGCCTCCTACGGTTCTACGGCGAAAGCATTTTGTTTTCGCGAGTATCAAACACGTCCCTTCCAGGCGGCTTATCAACGTCTCATCACACCGTGTAACGAAGATAATTTCTTTGTGCCACTCGGCCGTGAAGAACTTTGAAAATATCCGAACAATGGTGGCCAGCTCGTTAGAAGCGTTTATCGATGAAACGTGGAATGGCAAAAATCACGGGAACGTTGTCAGTTGTTGAATCTAAGAATCGCGTTTCAGGTCGATGGTACAATCTGTTAGAGAAGTTGATTTGCACGTGATGGATATGGGTCAAAAGTCCCAAAGAAGTCTCTCCTTCGCGTATTTTCCCTATCGATGCAACAACTGTACGTTGGTTGTTTTATTTATCGAGTCGCTGAGTTGTAAAAGTCAAATTTTCATGTTGTACACGCGTTTCGATACGTAACTGTTTCGTCGTAAATGTTTAGAGGACGCTCGTAAATCTCACCTGCATTCAACGTTTTTCTAACATATTTGCATCCGACTTGAACAGCATTCACGTGCATTTTAATTACATTGCACAAGAGTTGAAAGAGGAAATCGTAACAAGTCCCCGTAAAACGCGACACTTCCAATTACGGATCCCTCGGTCGGTTCTCATTCACCGTGTCACGCGTGCCTGGTCGACGAACGTGCAACTTTTTCTTGCCCAACCAATCGATATATTAATGCATGACTTTCTTGAAAAAAGAAAAAAAAAACTATATTAATAAGATAATTTCGTTGTATCACTCTTCTAAAAAAACTTCCAACACTATCACCAGATGAAAGATACGCGGAACAAAAGAGCTAAGTTGATCAACGAGCCAACAATATGCTTCTTGACATAATCTGAGTAAAGAATCTGAAGATTATCATTAATCACCAGACACTTATAGCATGTAATCCAGAATGGAGATACACGAACGACGTAATTACAAAGTAAAGTTACTACTTATTAACTACTCTCTTCTGTTCAAGTAATTATATATATTTCAAGTTGCCAAATACCCAATATCTCGAATGTATCCACGTTGTTCTTTGATGATTCCTCGACTTACATATTCAAGTCATGGAAACCTGATCGAAGCAGAAAAATTAACTTCCAGCTATGCGACACTAGGATTCCTTGAAAATTCCTCAATTCATTCAGAACCAATCTAAATGAACCTGATCGAGGAAGAGAAAAATGATTTTCCAGCTACGCGACACTGGTCTGTTGAAAATTCATGGTGTCAAGTATATATGAAAATTATTTATTGTACTCCACGCGTCGTTTATCACTCGATAATACCGGCTTGAATACCGGTGTCCCCATTCTGGCCCACCTTCTCCTAGGTATTTACGCTTGCCGCGCGCGCACACGCGCGTATGTGCAACGACACACACGCGTACAGATGGACATACAGCTATGTACATACGGCGCGCGTACGTGCCACGTAATGCCGTGTATCGCGTTAAAGAAACGGAGAAACTTTATATCGAAGTGAATCGAAGAGTACCAGGGACGCGAGCCTAAATTTCAGGTTACGCGGAGGGACAACAGGTCAACAGTCGATCGGCGGAAAAGACGTGTTACCCCGTGTCTGCGACAGTTTGTCTGGTTACTCAACGCGCGAAAGTACCGGTGAATAGCAGGCATTCCATTAAACGGGAACATCGCAGGGGCCTGGTACACGTTGCACGCCTCTTTCTCTGTTCTCGTTCTCTCTCGCTCTCTCCATCGCGGAGATTTGAATGATCTCGGCGGACGTGGATCGTGGAGAACGCGAGAATCGCTTCGAGCCCCTCGAGGGGCGCATCAGATTTGTCAAACACGTGTATCACGCCAGCTACGACAATCGGGCATGTATCGAAATGAGGCACACGATTCGACCGATCGGTCGTTCTAGCGGCGAGACAATTGGAGCAGCGAGAGAAGGAATGAAAAAAAAAGAGCGTATAACCAGCAAGGCCAGTGTTCCCTCCTTCCCTCGTGTGGTCGAACGATATCTCCTGCATACTCACGTTCTCATACTTCCATGTCCACCAGTTTGGTCCACGAGAATCTTCGACGATCGTCCCGGTGCAGCTCGAGCATCGTTTCGCCAACCTCCTCCTCTACACTCGCCTCTTCTTAAGATCGGTTTCTTACCCCTCGTAGACGTTGACGAAATTCCACGAATTCCACGATTTGTTTCCTATCGATTTTCCCGTGTACTACCAAAGGGGACCAAGACACACTGTGAGAAAATCACGCACGATGCAACGATGCTCGAGTACGAGCCTTCTCTCTCTCGCTTACAGCCTCACCAAGCATTGAAATCACCAGGTGCCGATGATCATCGCGAGAGACCAACGTCGGAGGACCTCGTGTTCGCGCGCGCACCGCTTCTTCTGTCGAGGAAGAACGAAGAGGAGGAATTCCGGGAACAGATTCACCTGGCGAGCAGAGTATCCCGACTTCATCAGGCTGCGTTCCCTGACTGCGAGTGGTAACCGTGATGAAGGCTGGACGATCGACGCTTCTCGTTCAACGACGATTCTGGTTTTGTCTGTTGGATTTCGATTATCCAGTACACTACAGAGACTCGGCCTGATAGTCTCGATCTTCCCGTCGAACGTTTTCTGCCACGGTTTTCGTGTGTCCGCCACCTGGAATTGGGGTCTCGCGACCAAGCGAGGCGGCCACGCGAGAGGTCGAACCTGAATATTGCCACCTGCTTCCTTCGACGTTCCAGGAAGATCTGAGGTGAGAGGGACGGCCATTTTGAGGGACCGTGCTGGCTCTCAGGTGGCGCTATAGTTGGAGAACCGTGGCTACACCGGTGTGGGTATATCACTCTTTTACCCGCGCTCACCTGGCAAGGTTCTGTCTTTGTCACCTGTAACGATCCACGCACACACATTGTCATTAAAACGAAATTTCCATTATTTCGTCTCCGTTGTATTTTGAACAAATGGATGAAAAGAAAGAAGAAGAAGACTGTTCTTTTACAGTCGTAGTGTTCAAATACACACAAATTTGAAATGATACCACGGAACTAACATGGTCAATCCGTTTCTGCTGCTGAATGACTTCGATATCATTACGTAATAGTTAATCAGTAGGTTGTAATAGCAACAAATAATCATCAAGTCTCTTGTGCTCTTACAGACTCGTAGTTGAGAATGTTTTATAGCTTGAAAACTAATGATATTTGATATTTTGAAGTAACACGTACGAATTTTTCCGTCAATCTAACAAGAGTTTTTCATTAGTGTACGTAGTCGAAGGATTCGATGATTTCTCGAGCCGGTTGGGAACGCAGTCCCGAGTCATTACTTTCATTCGAGCGATCGATCGATACGGCGATGGGGAAAAAAGAAAGCGGAGAACGAGCGAAGAACGCAACTCTCTGTTTACCGAGATTGGTGGCCACCGTTTTAGGATATGCTCACCGCCGCTCGCGATCACTTTTAGACGATAGATCGTGCGTCACGACGATAGAACGTGCGTGTGGAAACATTGCTGCACGCAATTCGACTTATCGCGAGTTTAATTACAGGCGACGCGAAGTCAGGATTCCTTCGAATCCGCTCGGACATCATTTTTTGCCTACTTCTTTATGGCCAACTTTCACTAACGCATTGGGAACACGGTTCGTTGGAATGTTGAACTGCCCGATTCGAGTTACGATTGTTAATGCGTCTGACGACAATCGGGCGAGCTGCGAACTGTCGGCAGGTGTGTCACGAATCGAACAATTGTGCCACGCTGCTCAGGAAACGAATTAAATTCGTCACAGTTAGGGGAACTTGTGAAACAATTCTTAGCACACGAAGGCAACAGCTCCTTATATTTCTGACATATTATTTGAAAGATCAGGCACGATTCGAGTAAATATTCCAACATTCTGCCGTTGTCGCGAATTAACTTGAATTTAAAATTAACTTCACAAAGTGCCCATTGAGCAATTGCTTGATATAATAATTTTGCAGCAGCTGAAAATCACCGAAACGACTAATTGCTTTCCCTTC